GGTTTTTATTGAATCAGGTGATACCTGATTTTATATTCTGATTTCAGTGAAATGAAAATCAAGGACACATATATACTGTGTGGCTGTTGTCTGTTTATCAAAGCAAGTCATAATTAGCCCCTGTGTGTAGACAGCTGTCTAATCATGTAATATTCAAATTTTTGGTTTTTCAAACTGTGGTTGTTCTGAACGGAAAGAATGCCTCCTTAAACTTATGCAACCATCTGTCAGAATTGCGAAGCACAGCTTAACTACATTAATGCAGTATTAATAGAGAGGCATTTAACCATCTTTTTCAGATGTTTCAGTGATCATGTTACTTGGATATGTTAGTTCAGTGCTGCTTGCTTCCAATGGACTCAGCTTTCCTTATTCTGCAACAAGTTCCTGCCCAACAACCCTCCTGTGATCCTTAGTCTGGTCATTTTGTGCATTCCCTTTGCCTCATTGCTTCACTATCAGCAGTTATCTGTTTTAGTTGATTCGGCCTGAAATTTTAAAACTCTTGCATGTTCTCTCCTTTTCTTCACATGCCCCACTCATTTTTAAAGTGCATTTTAAAACTTTGATAAAGCTTTGGATTACCTTCCTAATGCCTCTATGTTACTTGGTTTTAATTCTTTTGTAATATACCTATGAAATTCTGTGGTTTACTGCATTAATGGCGATATTTAAATGTCAGCTGTTCCCCACCCGTCCCCCCCGCCACAGCCATCACCAGCACCAGCACCACATTCAGTAAACAAACTTTAAAACATGGGAAAAAGGCATAACGTTCTTTAAACTCTAGAGGTGACGATTTAACAATTCCCAATGGTGAATCTTAATTAAAATGTTACTTCTTTTAAAACAACTGTTCCAACTTTATCAATTAAAAAATGTTTTATCAAACTGCTTAAGCATCACTTTTCGAGAAAAACTTTTGGTTCTACAGTGTGATACTCTAGCAATCATCAGTTTACAATTCCTTGATTTAATTGATCATCATTTTTGAAAACTATCTTTTTGAATCCTTTGCTTTGTTGAACGTGTTAGATAAGTGCACGTTTTTGTTGTATGTTAAGCTTCTCTGTCTTTCATTTGCTTCCCCTTTTTAAAAGCACAATCTTTCTCGGGGAGAGTTCCACTCATGTTGAAAACTGGGCATACATCATGTAGTATTGAAACTTCCAGCTATTAAAAGCCACTGTAGCTGTGTTGTCACATAATCATGTCCACACACATGCACACTATGTAACAAAGATGTTTATTCTTCCTCTGCACCCAGCCTAACAGCGCTGATATTAATTGTTGCAATCCTGACTAACAACATTTAACAGAATAGTAAAACATCAGAGGTAACCAATACGAGTTAGCAGCAACCTAACCTTTGTCCACTGACAGTGTTCCAGCTGTTAAAAAATCCATTTTCTTGATACATTTAATTGTCTAAAATGCTGTGCTTTCTTAAAATTACAATTGTGAATTTGAAATTTGATAGAAATCTTGTTGGAGGACAGGCTTGGTACTACTGACTCCGCAGAAAACATGGCATCTACTACACTGGTCACCACTACGCCTCCTGTGACCCAGGAAAAGGAACCATACAAGAAACTTGGCCTCACCAAAGAAGTTTTAGCTGCTCACACACAAAAGGAAGAGCAGATATTCTTGAGCAAGTTCAAGGAGCTGAGTAAACTGAAAACATTTGAACCTTCCTGCAAATCGTACTTAGAAGATCAGTACAAAGGATGTTCAGGAGATTGTGGTAAGAACTACAAACATTTCCTCTTTTTAATTTCCTCCCTGAGTTGCAAGAGTTGCATTGTGATATGGTATAAGATCTGTTGCATATGATGTGACATGCGCAAAGGGAAAGAATGTGGACTGATGTACCATTGCACTTTTTATATGCTAAAATGCTGTATATTGTTAAATATAAAATACATCTTTCATTTACGAACCATCTTTTAAGGGTACAATGAGTGTAACAAATGACAGAGCGTGTACTAATGGGTGGAAATTGTTCTGTAGTCAATCACCGTTCACATTGTAATATCATATTTGATACTCCAGAAGGAAAAACCAGTAAAACTTGCAATGACACATAATGAACCAACTTGTCTTGTACAGTATAGTTAAAAATGGAACTTCAGTTTGCCCTGTACACTCATTTCCAAGTTTTATTGTTTTGTTTACTGCTTTCTTTTTTTCCCTGTGAGATTATTGTGAAGTTTGAGTTAAATGGATTGGTGTCTTTGAACTCCCATGTCATATAAATGGAAACAGTTGCTAAAGTTTTTAAATACCTGTAATCAACCCGTTCAGAAATGTTATTACATACTTCTGGAACAGGTGGGACTTGAACAGGGCCTTCTGAGAAACAAAGGTACTAAACGTGTGCTTTGCCAATAAGATACACCTGTTTAAAAGTCTGGTCTTAGCACTCAGTTTTGGACCCAGAAGCTCTTGTGCTACAGTGGTAGTGTACCTACCTCGGAGGCTCGGCCCAAAGGGTCTAGGCCCGAAACGTCAGCCTTTCTGCTCCTACGATGCTGCTTGGCCTGCTGTGTTCATCCAGCCCTGCACCTTGTTGTCTCAGAGGCTGGAGGCCCGGTTTTAAGTCCCACCTGCTGTACAAGTGTAACATAACGCCTCTAAAGAGGTTGATTTAAAAATAACAATTTTGGACCTAATTGCAGATCATCATAGTTCACATTTGCCCAGATGTGCTAAGTCAGATGTCTGCAGGTTTTGCACTCCTCAAGTGTCGATTCAGTCAACCTTGTGGAGCATTAGGTTCAGCTACTTGGCTTAGACCTTGTCTTTCACTCAATGTTCTCAGAGGATTTTTTTTTCACCTTATAATCCCATCTTGGCCTTTTCATGCCTAACAAATCTGAAGCAATTTTTTCTTTTACTGAGTTTTTTATCAGAATCTCATCCTTTGAGTAAAATATTGAACATTATGTAACAGCCCCAGCAGTCAAATTGAGAAACCAGTAGAAAGATATATTCATATGGATGGTACTATTTTGCTTTTGTAATCCAGGGTAACATGGAATACTAAATTATTTAATTTGACAAGTCATTTTCCTTTTATTACAACCTTCCAATAATAATAAAATGCCTTAACTGTATAATCTGTCAGTGCAAATCTTCCAAAAGTTGCTATAGCAAAATACACTTATAAAATAGTTATTGAGATCTGTCAGTCTCCTATCTGATAGTTTTAAGGAACTAAGAGTGAAAGAGTTATGGGGTTGATTTCAAAAAATTTACCATTGTCATTGCTTGTACAATCAATATATGTGTCAGTTGTTTTGAGTGACCTCAGTTAGCAACCTGTTCCTTCTTCATACAGGTTCTCAAGGATTCAAACCTGGATGGAATCGTGCTGAGCCTGTGTACAAAAAAGGCGGAAAGAATAAGAAGCTGAAATCAAAACGCATCAAGCAGCAGGAATTGTCTGACAGTTCTCCATCTCGCACCAACCAGCATACACCGCCTTCCTGGTCCCCATCCGCTGTCTCTCAGAGTAGATATTCAGCTATACCGTTTACAACAGTTATGCCACCCTATCAACTGCCAGTATTTTCTGCCCATGGAGGTATGCCTCCTACTGCTGACCCCTCTCTGTCCAACTTTGAAAATGCTCAGGCTGTTCACTGCACCACACAGCCTCCACCGTACTCTGCACCCCTGGTAACCCCTATGGTAGCATTTGTGCTCCCTAATTACATGCTGCCTGGGATGAACGACACTGCACAGGAGCCTTTCTTTGCAAGCCAAGCTGCATTCCCTTCACAATCGACCTTTTTACCACAGACGACGTTTTCTGCAGAGACTTCTTCATTCCCGTCTCAGCCACAGTTTGCATCACAACATTATGATCCACCAGCAGAAGGCGAGAAGGCAGCTGCACTAGAACCTCGAGATGCCCCGTCATGTTGCTGTACTCCACAATCAGTAGGCCCTCAAGGCCACACTTCCCCTCCATTATTCCAGTCCAGGTGCAGTTCACCTTTACAACTGAATCTGCTGCAGCTGGAAGAAATGCCCAAATCATCAGAAGGAATTGCAGTTGTTGGAATTGTAGGTGGAAGTGGATCAATGGTTGATGGAGGAGGTATGAGCAATACCCCCAATATTGCGAATGTGGACGTTGCAAAGGATGAAACAGAACTGGTAAATTACTTAGTTTGAAAATATAACAATTTTCATTTAAAATGTGGGTTTTCGTGTTTTTAAGGCATAAATATCTCGTCTCTTGTAAATATTAATATTTTACAGTGTGAAATTCCAAATTTCAAAGGAAAAGCTCAATATATTAAGCAGTCAACGGAACCTAAAGTGCAAAATTCTTACTTTGGCAGAATTTATATTTAAAGTAGAATAGAGGAGGCAAGAAACATAGAAACTGGTTCAACCAGCCAAAGGTCACACCGACCCAAAGATATCTATTGCTTTCAGATGAGGGAAAATAAAAAGGTGAAAAAGGCTTTGAATTTTTAAATCTTGGTCAGAGTTTTTTTTTTTTAAAGTGCTGATTCTGAAAACTGGAAAGGATATGACAATGTATGATCAGGTAATTCGTATTTCTTTTTCACTCCAGTACTTATGGAAATTGTAAGGAACCTGGAAAGTATCATGTGAAATGTTTGTGTCTTACAATCCCGACAGGAAGCTCTGGATACACCCTCTTCTATTCAATAGAATTGAGTGTAGACTAAGTATTTTGTTATTAATAACACATTCCTTCGGCTTTGACTTTTCCTTCAATTCAGTCCTGTTACCATGCCTGTCTTGACATAATCCAACAATCTGGAAATTCCTGGCAGTGCATTGTCATTCCTTGTTTAAATATAAACCATCTAAAATAAGACAGTGGAAAAATAGTGAGCAAATAAATTGCAAAATTTTGTTTAAAATGCTTAGAAAGATTTACCTGACAACAAAATTTATGTTTTATACTTCTGTGAGATTGGGGAAGAAACAAATTTACCTCGGGACATTTTATTGCCATTTTAAAAATCTTTCATATTTTACTTTTCATATAGAACATGAATGGGTCCAAAGGTGACCCTGCACTTCCAAACTTTGAAATTTTGCTTTCCTCTGTTTGTCCCTTCACTTAATTTTCAACAGTGTATTGTGCCTCCTAACTTTGTGTCACCTGCAAACTCGGAACCTCTCATTAACAAAGTCGCTGGTTTTATTTGGTAACAATCTGAGGTCCTAGTCTCGATCTCTGGTGAACATCAATCATCATATCCTGCCAACTGATATTTTTCCTTTAACAACTACACTCAACTTCTAAATCACCCTGTTGCAAGCCTTGCAAACTTGAGAGGCTTGGAAAAATGAGGACTTTATTCACTGTTGCAGAACTCTTTTAAGGAGGAAAACCTAGTAACTGTTAAACATTGAGATGACATTTGGAGATTATATTAATATCCTAATATCTATTGAGATGGATAGATATAGGTTCAAACTAGTAGAAAAAGTGTGAAGGAAGAAGTTAACTGTTTCCAAGGGAAAATTTATTTTATCAGTACATTGCAGTGACTTTGCAAATGATGATTGAGATTGGATTGATGATGTGATTTAAGAAGGAAATGAGACAGTACCAGTTGGGTGCAAGGAACTGTTCTATAAACTGCCGCATTAGTGCTGAGTTGACATTTTGTTAGGGGACCAGAAGAATGCAGTGACTTGCATTACTATGTGTGAATTAGTGAAGAATCTTATGTTATATTTGACTAATGGTTGGTTGTTTTGATTTTTTGTCATGATGTCACTACCCTTTTAAAATTCATTGTTTTGCTCTTTAAATTGGAAAGAAATGAAGACCATACACTTCCTGAAAAACACTATATTCCTGAAATATGCAAGAGAGGGAGTTGTATTTTGAGTCTATACTTTTGCAGTAGTCTTTGCAGCTGCTGCTGGATCCAAGTAGACAGCAGTGTTTGCACTGCGTGCTAGCATTGGTCCTAGACCTGCGCATGTCTGAGCATTTTTGTGTATTTGGGTCTTGACTAAAATTTTTCTGTTTCTTTGGTTTTGGGGAAATGCCAATCCTTGAGTGGCCTAAGTCTAGACCTCTATGAACACTGTGTTCAGGTCTGATAACTCACAAGATGGCAAAACCAGATTGAAATTTAAAATGTGGGTTTGCAAATGTACATACGTTTGTGCATTTTTGTTTAGTTTGGCATGTGGATCACAAATGTTGTACAACAGTGTGTGTTCAGTGTGAAATATGTTCTGCTGAATGTTGCAGCTAGTTGCTGTGGTTCGAAATGTTATTCATGAAATGAATGGGTCCAAGAGGCTAAACATTTTTGAATGAATTTGTTTTGGTTTCTTAAGGCTGTATCACCCGATGAACCCCAGAACAGTGATGCTCACTCCACCTCTACTGACCTGTTGGATCTGTTACTTCAAGATTCACTGTCAGGCACAGGATCTGCAGGCTCGGGGAGTGCCAGATCAACAGCCTCAGGCTCTTCAGGCTCCCCTTCTAATGGGTGTGGAATGTCAGGAACTGACACAGGTATTTATATAGATATAAAAGTAATTGCTTCTACTTCTGGCAGAGCTTTTACATCTGTTTTGTTCATCCAAAGATTAGGAACGACCGCCGACAAAGTGTTTCTCCCCAACCTGCCTTGCTAAAAGTCGAAGGTAAAACAAACAAATGTATCAACTCACTAGTACCTTATTTTGATGGACTAAGTTACAACAGTGGCTTCGGTTAGAGTAAGAGATGTGAGGTAGAATGGCTTCCCTCTTGTCCAAAGCCTCGCTTGACTACAGCATTTTTTTTCAACTTTTTTTCTATTTCAAAAGGATTTGTTTGACAATTCACTGTGTGTCTAAAACTGTGCTGTGACACAGAAACATCTCATTTAATTTTTAAAAAAAAGTTGTATTTAACCTAGTCAAAGAAACATACACACTTGAAGTTTAAGCCACCCAAATTTGGAATGGGAGAATAGGTTAAGCATTTTAAAATCTTGTAAGTTTAAGGGTGTCCAGCTCTTGAAGTCTATGTCTTGGCTCACTGCATTCTGGGTTCAACGTTAGTGTGGCCTATTTAGGTGTTCTTCAGGTGTCAGTAGTTGTTGAGTTGAGTTCTTTTAGATGCCACAGGAAGATACCTTTTTAAATGATCAAAATCAGCATACAGGGTTCAAAACTTGCAAGTCTGATGGAGGTAGAGAGGAGGACCCATGTAGGGCAACCAGAAAATGCTGGAGAAACTCAGCAGGATTGGTAGCATCTGTGGAGAGGGAAGCAGAGTTAACATCATTTCTTTTTCTTTGTCTACAGATGCTGCCACACCTGCTGAGTTTCTCCAGCACTTTCTGTGCTTGCTTCAGATTTTTAGCATCCACAGTATTTTGTTTTTATTTCACCCACATAGGGATCTTTCTTCTTTACTACCTCATTTGTTTGTGCCATTCTGCAGAAAAGCAGTACTTAAAGAGGGTTGGGATAACAAGGTGTAGAGCTGGATGAACACAGCAGGCCAAGCAGCATCAGAGGAGCAGGAAAGCTGACGTTTTGGGCCCAGACCCTTCTTCAGAAAGCTTAAAGAGGGTTATCTGGCTTGTCATATGTACTTCTTTCTCCAAGTGACCAAATTATCCCAAATATGGTTGTAGTGTAGTGGATTTCAGTTGCATGGTTTACATGATTAGATGATGTCTGACGAAATTCCTTTCACAGCTAGAGTCCTGGTTTCTAAGTGATTTATTTCCAATGGTTTGTATCTAGTTGAGTATGCAAGTGATTATCTGGATGTTTACCTATTGGAATAGGAGATGGCCCCATTCATACTTCTTCAAGGTAACTGTTCTTAGGTAGGCTTTGATGACAGGGTTTCACCATCTAGTGCTTTGAAGTATGAAGGCACAGTGCAGCAAATGTTGACCGTCTTGATTGTGATGTCAGATTGTTCGAAGGTGGCATTATGCTTCTTAAAAACTCAGGTGGTTTTCAGCCAGTAAACTCATTGTCATTTTTTATACAGCATACCTCAAGACTCCAAAGGCACCTCGAAGCGGTAATATATTTTGGGCTTTCCTGTAGTTAAAGAAGTTTCCATAGCAATGCAAGTTGTTTTTTTTTTAACTTCTGGATGAAAAGAGTGTTGTTTGCTCTGTTGTAGAGAAACTTGGATGTAACTGTTGAAACCTCAGTCTGGGCATTCATGGAATCAGGGGGACTACATGGATATATTCTGGGATTCCTGCTTCCTTTCTCAGAGCCTCCAATTTTTTCACCAGTGTAGGTTAAGAATGCAGAATGTGATTCTGTGAAGTGCAAGAACTGCAGCACTTGTCCTTTTACCTTCAATCTCCTGATCGTTCATTGTCCAAAATTCCCTTGACAAGTGAAACTGGGATTTATATGCAGTTCTTTCAATTTGGTAGGTTCACCACTGACAATGTGGCCTGCTTTACACTGGGGGAGATTAAGTTGGGTGACGACTTTGTGAAACATCTCTGCTCAATCTGCAAGCATCGACCCAAGTATCTAGTGACCTATTTTAATTCTCTATCTTGTTCATATGCTGACCTCTCTGTCTTTGGAATATTGCACTGTTACAATGAAGTTCATTACTAGTTTGGCTCATTAACTCAGTTAGGCACTTCATTTCTGGACTCAATGTTTAAGTCACCGATTTCCAGTCAACCTCTGTCTCCCTTTCTTTGCATCATGCAATCTAAACCTTGTTTTTCTCCTTGTTTGGACTGCTGTTGTTCTTTTCATCTGTTATTCACATCTTCTTTGGACACTTTTTGTTTATTAACTTGTCCTTTTGGCTATAGACAACTAACATTTTTGTCATTTAATGTCTCCTATCTTTCACCCTATCACAGACATCCCCCATTTTTCCCCTCCTGTCTCCTGTTTCACTTGTGTAAAATCTATTACATTTCCAACATTTCTCTTTCTTTCTACCGATATTGAATCGCTAAGTATTTCTGCTATTGTCTGTTGTTATCTTAGATTTCTACCATGCTTGTATTCCTTTGTCTAACCTCTGACTATTTTACTTCATTAAATTGAGACTTTTTTAAAAATCATTATTAGGAAGCAGTCATCTAAGCAACACCAGCAAATATTTTGGAAGCATTGACTCCTCGGAGAATGACCTCAAGTCAAAACTAGGAAACTCTAAGAAGATTGACCATTTCACTAATTGTGTACTCCAAGACCCAGTCTGGCTCTCAATGGCAAATACAGATGAAACAACAATGATGACCTATCAACTTCCGTCTAGGTGAGTACTGAAACTCTAGCAGGAAGTTTTTGTCAATTAAAGACCCTGAGAAATAAGAACAGGAGTAAGCCTTTTAGCCTCTCAAGCCTGCTCCGCCATTCATTAGGATTATGGCTGATCCAACATTCCTCAAATCCACTTGCCTGCACTTTCCCCATAATGCTCAAATTCACTGACTGATCAAGAATTTATCTATCTCAGCCTTAAAGATACACAAGGACTCTGCCTGCAGCTCTCTATGGCAAGGAATACCAAAAACTCTCAATTCTCACAGAAGTAAATTGATATCTCTTTAAACTATATTCCTAACCACCCTGTTCTGAGATGTTCCTACACACCTCTGGAGCAGATGGGACTTGAACCCAGGTCTCCCAATCCAGGGGTAGGGATGCTACTACTGCACCATAAGAGGGCCCTTTTGACGCCTCTTTATTCTGCGCTTTTGCCTAATGGCTCTAGATTTTCCCATGAAGGGAAACATCCTTTCAGCATTTACTGTCTCAAGCCCCTTAAGAATCTGATATGTTTCAATGAGATCAACTCTCATTCTTCTAAACTCCAGTGAGTGGAGTCCCACCCTGTTTAACCTTTGCTCATAAGATAATCCCTTCATTTCAGGGGTTGTCCTTGTGAACCTTCTCTGAACTGCCTCCAGTGAAATAATATCTTTCTTTAAGTAAGGGGTCCAAAACTGCTCTCACTACTTCAGATATGTTCTCACCAGCACCTCGTACAGTTGCAGTAAGGCCTTCGTCCTGTCATACTCCAGCTCCCTTGAAATAAGGGCCAACATTCCATTAGCCTTCCTGATTACTTGCTGCCCCTGTGTGCTCGCTTTCGGTGTTTAATGTACAATACCCCAAGACCCTTTGTGTTGCATCTTTTCTCCTTTTAAATAACATTATGTTCTTTTGTTCTCCCTTCCAAAATGAACAACTTCACATTTTCCCACATTATACTCCATTTGCCAACTTTTTGTCCACTTAACCTATCAAGATCTCTCTGGTAAGCTGTATGTATCCATCTTGTAGCCTGCCCTTCTACCTAATGTTGTGTCATCTGCAAATTTAGCTACAGTACATTTGCTTCCTTTCTCCAAGTCATTAGTATATATTGTAAATAATTGTGGTCGCGTCACTGATCCCTGTGGGACCCCACTGGTCACAGGTCACCAACCTGAAAAATAACCCCTTATCCTCATTTGCCGTTTTGTGTCCATGTGCCAATTCTCTACCCATGCCAGAACGGTACCTCCAACATCATGTGCCCTTATGACTTAACCTTTTGTGAGATACTTTATCGAACACCTTCTGGAAATCCAATTACAACACATCTACTGGTTCCCCTCTATCCACTCTGATTGAGTTTTCCTCAAAAAACTCTTAATGAATTAGTCAGACCTTATTTCACTTTCTTGAAACCATGCTGACTCTGCTTGATTGGATTATGATTGTTGTTGCACTAATCCATGTGTTTTCAATGTTACTGTATCTTGTGACTTTAATTCTGTTTAGCCACTGCCTTGCAGTTGATTGAGTGATATTGGCTGGTATCAAAGTTCTACTGTGATCACCTGAAAGTCTGTGCATTGATCCAGTGAAGAAGAATGTTGGGTTATGTGCAATATTCTCCTTGATGATAACACATCAGAAGAGGCTCCACTTGGTTACTAACAAGCTGCCCCTGGCCAGAAGATTTGATGCATAAGCTTGTTAAGAAGACATAGCTCAGGGATGAATAGAGAACTCCTCTTTATAACCTGTTAGCATTTTGACCATTTGTTAGCATACAGTTGTCCGATTATCTTGGTTAATGCCTCCAGCCTGTAAAGATGAACTTTTTTTGTTTGAAAGGCTGCATTTGCTGACACCCAGGAGTATTCAAGAGTTACAGCAAAATCTCTGGAATAAAACTGAAATAAAAAAAAACAAACATCTAAAAACATAAAACCATTAATGACGAACTACATCGGTGAAGAGAACAAAATTAAAATAGATGTTTTACACATTGGCCATATATTGCACATGTATATGGTGTCAGCACACATTTCCTTTGTGAAAGGCACATGCCTGCATTGGAGATGCAAGGAATAATATAATTTCTGTCACATGTTTGAAATCAGAATCTGAAGCAGCTGTACACTGTTGCAGAGAACATTATCAAGAAGGCTAATACCTGTGCTGAAGGCATAAGAAATTGGATCACCCTAACATATGTCTGATTTCATTTTCTTTTTCAGGATTGAGATAGATTTACAACTTAAGGTCTAAAACCAGTGCTGAGGAATTTTCTTTGCTTCTGAAAAACACCCAGTGTTTATTTCAGTTGACTTTTTTAAAATGAAAATTGGGCAGTTTTCATAACAGGGAGCCAGTCCACGAGGCCAGCTTTACTGTGGGCTGACAAATTGACGGACTGGCCATTGTCTCTTAACTACAACAGGATCATCTCAGTGTTTGAACAGCATTACAGTCTTGGAAAGAAAGGTGTTGGCAAAATCCATTTTCATCCTTGGGGCGTAAGAAGTTGGAATTGCCCATGTATGCTGGACAGTTTTTTGTTACAATGTGGTCTCTGTACTAAGACACGAAGCAATGGTGTTTATACTCCAGTGCTTTTACTTAAATTCCTCTTCTTCACTGTTCTTGTTGACTCTTGCTGCAGTATAATTTCAAAGACTTGGGTAGTTTTGTTATTTCTTCAAAATGGTCAGCAGTGTTGACTAGGTACTGATTAAGTCACAGTTTAATTTGTTAATAATGGTGACATCAGACACACACGTGACCTCGTCACTCGACCTGTCTACATGCCAGGCTTCCCAGATAGAAGTTAGGAGCTGTAACTCCCAGCCGGTTTTTTTTTTTTTTTTTAAAAATGATTTTCCTCCCTCACTATTCCCAGCTTTGAGCCGGTGAGCACATGTTCAGGTTCTCCAATCTTTGGGTGAGATAACAGTTTCTGTACTAGGGATTAAATCAGTATTAATCTGCTGTGCCAGCAACATGCTGTCCATGGTTAAATAATTGATACCTTAATGCAATTCTCTAAAAAATAAAAGATAGTGTAATGATCTAATCTTGGGCTTCAGTAATATTAAAAAGCCAACACCACGGTAGACATTTTATAACCCTCTGAAGTCCCTGTGCAATAAGAGTCATTTTCCAATCATTCCCTGCTATCCTTTAAAAAGTATGTTTTATATACAAAAGTGTTCCTGATTTATGATCTGCTTTTGTTCCAGCATGGTTAGTGTAGTGCTGTTGATCTGTCCTCCATGATGTCAAATAATTCTTGCAGAAAAAGATAAGCAATTTGCCAATTATGTCAGGTGTTATGGAGATTATTCATATTGAATACAGTCATGTTCTGTTTTAGTTATACTTTTTTTTTAATAGTGTACCTTACTTATATTGCCAGCTTGAGCGAGCAACCCAGCAACAAAGTTTATTCTGAAATTTAGGGTCTGAAATTTGAGCAAAGGAAACAGGGTACAAGTGGCAAGTTGGACCTGTTAGGTAAGGAAAATCACTAAAGGACTGGCAATGACTAATGGTTAAACATCGGAAATAGGAGCAGGAGCAGGCCATTCAGTCCTTACAGCCTGCTCCACCATTCAGTATGATCGTGGCTGATCATCCGACTTAGTACCCTGTTCCTGCTTCTTCCCCATAAGGGAATACTACAAGGCCTACAACAGATATACATTTCTCTATGGCACACACACCCAAAGAGAAAGGTGACTCAGCTATTGTTAACAAAAAGTTAAAGATTACATTAGAACAAAGCAAGTGGTTTGTTGAAATGCCAGAAACAGTGGTAAACACTGCCCAATGCACCATAATCACTTTACCAACCAACCAATGGTCTGTAATAATCAACCCATAAAACACATTCATAGTTTCACCTCACCCTTACAACCTTAGCACTGCTGCAAGCCTCACACACACTTCACAGCTTGTGCATACAGCCAGGCATTCAACATCTCAGATGCATCTTCCTAACGGACTGTACCACAGCCGCTGACAGGCTTAACTTACCTTTCACTTGTAGGACAAGTGTTAGTACAGTGATTCTAAGACTCTGTGGGTCCTCACCCTGATGTAAGAGCTGTCGCTGCTACACCTGGTACTCCACGAAGAAAGCCATCAACAAACGCATAAAGCTCGACCCCATATACACTCCACCGTGAAGGAAAGCCGGAAGTGAGGTAATCCAGCTCAACGGACTCCAGAGTTTAAATAACAGGCGGGAAAACACAACAGCGCTTCATCGGAGGCTGTACTGAACAACGAACCAGCTCGGCGAGCCGACCAACCACAACATCCACAATCTACTCTAAAACCTTAGTGGCATTAGTTGAAGCATTGCCCTCCAGAATATCAGCACTGATGTTAGATCAGCTTTTTCTTGTCACAATCTTTCTACTCTACATATTTTGCTAGACCTGTATACCGATGCCCTCATCAAAATGGTGTCCAGCGCAGCTCAAACCAGAAATGTGCAAGCACGCTAGATACTCCCTCCCCACTCTCCAGCTGTTGACATGTGCAATTTCCTATTGGCCATCTTGTTGGGAGTGCTTTGCCTTATGTGTTGAGTATAATTGTCGCTAATAGGTTTACTTTTAGTATTTTGTGAGGCAATTTTATTTAGAAACTCAATTGGCATGCTAATCATAATCGTTCCAACTTTAGGGACATTGAAACCGTTCTAAAAGAAGACCGAGAAAAGCTGAAAATGATGCAGAGAAATCAACCAAAATTCACAGAGGATCAAAAAAAAGAACTCTACGAGGTTTTTCCCTGGTTTAGGACAAGTATACTGCCAAAGACCATTGATATCACAGTAAGTATTACATGGTTTTCCAAGTTTTCAGTTCTAGCACTGGGAGTAAATTATGCCCTCATCCATTTCCTTACCTGTCTGTATTCTTTATTCTCAGATAAAACATAGTACAGCCATTGTTTCAGTATGATTCCTTCCTTCCTGTCCCAACACTCCAATCACACAAGATCCAATCATTCACTACATTATTATGCTACATCACGTCACTATTGAAACTATTGTTAGATTCTGGAGGGAGTTGCCCTGTTATATGGCTAAATTTAGATGCAAAAGTAAAATACAACCAAAAGAAAAACAAAGGTCACAAAATGCAGCTTCATAGCTCTACAGGCACCCTTGCAGCTGGAGGCCCTGAAAATGGCACGTGCAGCACTTTCAACTCCTTCCAGTGTAATGCCCAGTGCTAGAACGGTGCTCATGTGGATGCCATCTGTGCACCAGAAACTTTCACCATGCAGATTGTGATAATAAACAGTTGTAATGTTGATCTGACATATGATTTACCATACACTGGAGCAGCATGGATCTTGCAGCTGCTCCTGTGTTTGCAGGCTTACTTAAGAGTTTCATTGTAGTTATTATGTTCCACTAATATGAGGTTTTCATAAGTACATGAATAGGAAATGTTTGGAGCGATATGGACCAGGAGCAGGCAAGTGGGACTAGTTTAGTTTGGCATTATGTTTGGCATGGACTGATTGGACCAAAGGTCCATTTCCGTGCTGGATGACCCTATCTTGGACAATGCCGGTCCAGTTATCCTCTATATCGGGCAGACCAAACGCAAGCTTGGGGACTGCTTCACGGGGCATCTCTGTTCTGCATGCAACAACCAAGTCGACCTTCCAGTTGCTGTCCATTTTAATTCCCCCTCCCACTCCCCTGATGACATGTCTATCCTTGGCCTCCTGCACTGTCAGAATGAGGCCAAACGTAAACCAGAGGAACAACACCTGATGTTTCGCCTTAGAAGCTTACAGCCCAGTGGCCTTAACATTGACTTCACCAGTTTCAAAATCCCTCCACAACCAGCCTTATCCCATGTCTAACCCTCCTCCTCCTGACCTGACCTAACCTGTATGCCTTCCCACTCACCTATCCGCTGCACCCTTCCCATGGACCAATCACAATAACCCCCTACTTGCATCCACCTATCACCATCTCTCTTACCCTTACCCCAGCACCCTCTCCCCCAGCTCCCCATTTATTTCTGCACTCCCCTCCCTTTCCCAGTCCTGACAAAGGGTTTCGGCCCGAAACATTGACTTACGTGCTTCTCGGATGCTGTGCTTTTCCAGTCTCACAACTATAGACCTTGGCTTCCAGCATCTACAGTCCTTATTGTTTCCAGTTATTGACCTGTACTAACCACTCACAGTTGAATAAGTATTCCAGTGCCAAAGAAACACTCAGCCCTCCATATTACTGCCATTTAAAGGAACATGATGTGGAGGTGCCGGTGTAGGACTGAGGTGGACAAAGTCAAAAGTCACACAACAACAGGTTATAGTC